AGTAGTATCTGAAAGACGTAGACAACAAATTTATCGCCTTTCTTTCCCTCATCAACATATTTACACCTGCAAAAAAAGACAACCATTGGCCACTTTGACTCCCAATGACAACGTAGACCATCTGAATGCCAGTGCAGACTTATTTGATGACTAAAGGTAAGTTTAATTACATAATGTAGCATACATTGGGGGCCCCAAACCCCCGCCGTTTATCTTTCACTTGCTTCCTAACAAAACAAAGTGGCGTCGCCCATCATAGTTGATACGTTGCTAAGTTTTTATGCCGCGCCACCTCACACGTAGATATAGAAACAAAATGGCGGCCGTACCGGTAAAGTGCATTCTATCCTAGAATCATGCATTCATAATTCACGTATTATGTACAATAACTTAATATATTAATACATCACATGGTTTTTACTATGTTCCTTAAGTATTTTTAAACAAGTGACAGAAAACAAGCCTATATATTGACTTACATTTTTCAAGATAACCTTGTTAACATCAGTTTCTGGAATGTATGCCTTGTATACTGAAGCATTGAAGGTGGGGGCGTTGTCATTCATGTCTCTGATCTCCAAGTAAACAGAAGTGGTGTTCGTGTGATTACCGTCACTGACATTGACAGTGAAGTTATACGATGCTTTGCTTTCATAATCAAATTTTTTCCGTGTTGTGATAATTCCTGATGTAGAATTCACAGAGAAATCTGAAAATATCAAAGATAGAATGAGTTGTTGCAATTAAAATGTAATCACTTCACTGATACAGATCAAGTAGTTCTATGAGATTTTAATTCAAAATTGAAAATATAGTCTGTTCATAGAACAGTTTCAATCTTGATTTGCAAATAGGTGAATATACTATGAAGTGTTATAATTAAATAATGCAACAATTCCATGAAAGTGATGATTTATAGATAAGCTGACAGAAGACATCACCTATCAAAACAACCATTGGACTTTGCTTTCTAATCTCTTATCCAAATGGACCAGAGGTTTTTCTTTATTGGACTTACTCTCATTCACTGGGTTTATCGAGTATAACAGAGCAGAGTCAGAATCTTTGTCCATGGCTCTCACTACCCCGACTTCCGTCCCACTATCCTGATTTTCTCTTACACTGAACTTGTATTCTCTCTGCTGAAATTCTGGCTCCTCGTCGTTAGTGTTGTTCACAGTGATCATCACATTACACGTACTGAAACAAGGAATTGCTGAATTTATATAAGGAAAAAAAATAAGCAAAATTCTGTTTCAAAAGTATTACCATGAAAGAATTTTAAAAGACATTCATGTCCTTAATTAATAACCATTATAAATTTGTATGCTGACATAAGAAAGCAAAAACAAAACAACCTCAATGACAAGCCAATTAATTCTCATCTCAATACAGAAAAAATAGCAATTAATAATTTCCAAGTATTTTAAAATGCTATACTATAAAAGTGGTTTGAAATTTACTTGCACGGTATATATGCTTACTAATAGAACCTTGTAAAATACCCTCATGCCTATGGTCATAAAATTTTAAAGCTCCTATACTAATATTTTAAACTGTTATTAGTCTTAGTAAACATGGCATTATTGAACACACATGAGCATCATCACAAGCCACAGGTTTTGTGTCCATTCTATTCCCACAAATAGTGGAAAGAGAGTGGACATTAAACCTGTGGCAAGGTGACGATGACACGAGTAGATAACTTATTTACAAGCAGTAATGAAAAAGTGGATGTTTATTTTCTAAATTGTACAATAGAAACGTGCATCTTCATATTGAATATTTTAAGTGACATCATGCAATTAAAGCTTCTAAACATCAATACTTATTTTCATTTCCTTTGTATGTAAGTGTATGTCCCCCTTAAGTTTAAATAATTATCCCAAAATGTAACACTAGTTCACAGTCACTACAAACATGACTACCAACATGTCTAATATCCATGTCCTAGTAATAATAAATAGAGTATTATAGACTTTGCTGACATAACAGTGAAATATTGTACATGTATGACAAAAACCTTGCGAGACTACTATCATTTCTGTCAGTGGCCTTCACAGTAAGAATAAAACTGTGATCTCCGGCATCATAATCCATAGTCTGATTAAGTGTTATTTTTCCATCACTGGTTATCTGGAACTACAAATAGAAAAATGAAAGAAAAAGTGAGCTAGCTCACATACCCCACGCTTCCCCAAAACTTGACGGTGAAACACATAATGAAAGGCACAGTGCACTTTAAATACATAGTATAGATCAAAAAGGGCAATAATTGCAAAAAAATCTTCACATCAAAATGTCTTGCATATGAGGACATTTAAATGTGGAATGAAGTTTCTAGATAAATAATGGAATCAAAATTTCTTGGCATTATACAAATCCAATTCTTGAATATTAGGCAAAACTCTTTGGGATAAAATAATGGAATATGTCCTAAATATCTGCATAGGTTGACGAAACTATGTACAACAGTTTAAGAGGAGTGGTGCTGACAAACTGTTCATCTCTATATTCAAAATAAGGCCAAAAAGTCTAAGTTGGAAAGTGTGGAAATTATCGGAAAAATAAAGGAATCGGAATTTCCTGGTAATATGCACATCTACATATTGTGTCCTAAATACATGTATCTGCAAAGTTTAACGAAATTCTGTGCAGTGGTTTATGAGGAGTTGCACTGACAAACTGTTCATCTCTACATAAAAGGTATGGCCAAAAACCTAAGTTTTTAGTGCGGGAAGTCCTGAAAAAAATAAAGGAATCGGAATTTCCTTGTAACATGCACATCTACATATTGTGTCCTAAATATCTGCAAAGTTTAACAAAATTCTGTGCAGCGGTTTATGAGGAGTTGCGCTGACAAACTGTTCATCTCTATATTCAAGGTATGACCAAAAATCTAAGTATTTAGTGCGGAAAGTCCCGGAAAAAATAAAGGAATCAAAATTTCCTGGGAATATGCACATCTACATATTGTGTCCTAAATACCTGCAAAGTTTGACAAAATTCTGTGCAGCGGTTTATGAGGAGTTGCGCTGACAAACTGTTCATCTCTATATTCAAGGTATGGCCAAATGCCTAAGTTAAAAAGTGCGGAAATTCCCGGAAAAAATAATGAATCGGAATTTCCTGGGAATATGCACATCTACACATTGTGTCCTAAATACCTGCAAAGTTTGACGAAATTCTGTGCAGCGGTTTATGAGGAGTTGCGCTGACAAAAAAAGAGGACTGACTGACTGACTGACGGACGGGTCAAAATCATTATACCTCCCACAACTAGTTGCGTGGGGTATAAAAATATATTCATACAAAGACAGCACTGTAGACCAACATTCATCTGTGGGCAACTAACTTTCCCATCAGCATAAAATACCATTTTTCATATATAGACCCTATCTTTCATGTAGAGCTTTGACCACCAAAAGTCTCCAGAAAGTACACAAACACTGGCCCAAACAAAACAATTCTACATGCAGTTTTGCTTGAAGATCACTTTACCTTACTGTTGGATCCAGTAACCAACTGATAATCAATTTGTTTGAATTCCGTTGTGACATCTTTATCCTCAGCTTTTACTTGGCAGTTAAAATCTAGAGTAGATTCCTTAACACTACACTGGTACAAGTCTACAAAACACAATGTTAACTTCCAGATAACTACATGTACAACTCTAATTTAGAATATACCTCATTCATAATTTCCTTAGTTTTCTTTAAAATTGGAATTGTAATATTCCATGCCTGGCTGATATTCTATTTCAATCAACCCTACCCTTTCAATTCTTTTGAAGTTTCTTCTTCAAGATATATGAATGTCTATGTTTTAGCAGAATTCCTCTAATATGTTGATGCTATAATTACCCTGTGTAAACTTGGGAGAGTTGTCATTTACATCCAGAATGTTGATTACAAAGGAGGCAGTGGTGCTGTGATTGGTTATAGTCTGACTTAGCCCCCTTGAATCTGAAGCAGTGATCTGCAAAACAACCATTGATCTTCCTTAACAATAAGAATGATAGGAATACCAAATTGTCATTTTGTTCTAGACTACAAAAACTGATGGCTGTGTATACACATGTATATGCATATACTATGTCAAATAACCCCTTAATCATCAAACATTTTACCAGTGCTTGATAATTATTGAACGAAAAAAAGTTCTTATTAATGGAAAACAAGAGGCCCAGGGGCCACATCGCTCAACTGAGCAATTGGCTAGGAAAAAGCACATATGAGATCAGAACTGAAAGTTTACTGGGGGGGGGGGGGGGGGGGGCTTGAATTTGAACCCCCCACTGGTCATGATTTGAACAAACTAGAATCTACACTACCTGAGGATGATTCCCTATAAATATCACTAAGAGCTTTGAAGTACTTGAAAAGAAGATTTTAAAAGGTTTCCCTATATATTCCTATGTGAAAATTTGATCAGCCATTTAGGCCCCACCCTACCCCCGGAGGTCATGATTTGAATGATCTAGAATCTACACTACATGAGGATGATTCCACAGGAGTTTCATCTTTCATGTCTAAATGAGAAGATTTTTCCTATATATTCCTATGTAAAACTTTGATCTGCCATTGTGGCTCTACCCTACCCCCGGGGGTCATGATTTGAACAAACTTGAATCTACACTACCTGAGGATGATTCCACATGAGTTTCATCTTTCCTGGCCCAGTGGTTCTTGAGAAGAAGATTTTTAAAGATTTTTCCTATATATTCCTATGTAAAACTTTGATCGGCCATTTTGGCCCCACCCTACCCCCGGGGGTCATGATTTGAACAAACTTGAATCTACACTACCTGAGGATGATTCCACATGAGTTTCATCTTTCCTGGCCCAGTGGTTCTTGAGAAGATTTTTTAAAAATGTCATTAATTTTTCTCTAATTCATAATTATCTCCCCTTGGAAAAGGGCTTGGCCCTTCATTTGAACAAACTTGAATCCCCTTTACCCAAGGATACTTTATAGCAAGTTTGGTTGAAATTGGCCCAGTGGTTCTTGAGTAGAAGATGAAAATGTGAAAAGTTTACAACGACAACGACGACGACAGACAATGGACAAATTTTGATCAGAAAAGCTCACTTGAGCCATTGGCTCAGGTGAGCTAAAGATGTTCTGTACAGTATATTCTGTACAAACTAGAACTGTCCAAACGGGACAAAATACCCCCCGCTGGGTTTTTCAGAAGTAAGTTTTTCAATAATAAAGATATGTATCAAAAACAAATTATGAAATTTTTATTCCAGTGACCTTGAACTTCCCCAAATAACCTTGGGTCAAGGTCATGACACACCCTTGGGTCATGGGCAATCTTTCAGTGAAATGAGAACCTACCAAGTTTATCCATAAGAAAGATATGGACTGGACACAAATTATGAAATTTTTCTTCCAGTGACCTTGAACTTCCCCAAATGACCTTGAGTCAAGGTCATGACACACCCTTGGGTCATGGGCAATCTTTGTGTGAAATGAGAACCTACCAAGTTTATGCATAAGAAAGATATGGACCGGACACGAATTATGAAATTTTTCTACCAGTGACCTTGAACTTCCCCGAATGACCTTTGGTCAAGGTCATGACACACCCTTGAGAACCTACATAGTTTATCCATAAAAAAAATATGGACCGGACAGGGAATATAAAAAATTTTCTTCCAGTGACCTTGAACATTTCTCATTGGACCTTGGGTGAAGGTCATGACACACCCTTGGGTCATAGGCAATCTTTGTGTGAAATGAGAACCTACCAAGTTTATCTATAAAAGATATGTATCAAACATGATTTATGAAAATTTTCTTCCAATGACCTTGAACTTTCCCAAATGACCTTGGTTCAAGGTCATGACACACCCTTGGGTCATGGGCAATCTTTGTGTGAAATGAGAACCTACCAAGTTTATCCATATGAAAGATATGGACCGGACACAAATTATGAAATTTTTCTTCCAGTGACCTTGAACTTTCCCGAATGACCTTGGGTCAAGGTCATGACACACCCTTAGGTCATGAGCAATCTTATTGTGGAGTAGTAGATTCTAATGTCCCTCTGTAAGAAAGATATGGACCGCACACGAATGCACAGACAGCTAGACAGACGGACGGACGGACAGACGGACAAGGTGATTCCTATATACCCCCCCAAACTTCGTTTGCGGGGGGTATAATTAATATCTACTCTACCCAAGGCTGCTTCCACATAAGTTTCAGCTTTCCTGGCCCAGTAGTTCTTGAGAAGAAGATTTTTAAAGATTTGTTCTATATATTTCTATGTAAAACTTGAGTTCCCTATTGTGGCCCCACCCAACCCCCGGGGGTCATGATTTTAACAATTCAATATCTGCAATACCCAAGGGGATGCTTCCACAAAAGTTTCAGCTTTCCTGGCCCAGTGGTTCTTGAGAAGTAGATTTTTTAAAGATGTGTTCTTTATATTTCTATGTAAAACTTATATTCCCTATTGTGGTCCCGCCCTACCACCTGGGGTCATGGTTTTATCAATCTAATATCTACACTATCCAAGGATGCTTCCACATAAGTTTTTGCTTTCCTGGACCAGTGGTTCTTGAGAAGATTTATAAAGATTTGTTCTATAAATTTCTATGTAAAACTTGGATTCCCTATTGAGGCCCCACTCTACCCCCGGGGTCATGATTTTAACAATTTAATATCTATACTACCCAAGGATGCTTCCACATAAGTTTCAGCTTTCCTGACCCAGTGGTTCTTGAGAAGAAGATTTTTAAAGATTTCTTCTATACATTTCTATGTAAAACTTGGATTCCCTATTGTGACCACGCCCAACTCCCAGGGGTCATGATTTTAACAATTTAATATCTACACTACCCAAGGATGTTTCCACATAAGTTTCAGCTTTCCTAACCCTGTGTGTCTTGAGAAGATTTTTTTAATGACCCCAACCCCCCCTATTTTTGTCTTTTCTTGATTATCTCCCCTTGTAAGGGGACTTGGCCCTTCATTTTAACAATTTAAACTCCCCTTCACCTAAGATGCTGTGTACAAAGTTTGGTTAAAATTGGCCCATTGGTTCTTGAGAAGAAGTCAAAAATGTGAAAAGTTTACGGATGGACAGATGGACAGACGGACTGACAAAATGTGATCAGAAAAGCTCACATGAGCCTTCAGCTCAGGTGAGCTAAAAAATATTTTGAGTGGTTTCTTTAAAACTGATTTAAACACAATTTGATTAAAGTGAGTCAAGTTAAAAGAAAGGTCAAGGTAAAAATTTTTGATGCAGTTGAATTGCTTACATTAGTGTGTACTAGCATATGAAGTTTGACACTGAATTAGGAAACATGAGGTCAAGGTCAAAGGAAGGGTATAAATTGTTGATGCAGTTGAATAGCTCTCATCAGTATGCATCAGCATATAAAGTTTGATAAAAATATCTTGGATGGTTTCATAAAAACTGAGCTAAACACTAATTTAGGAAGAGTGTGGTCAAGGTCAAAGGAAAAGTCAAAGTCAAAAAATGTTGATGCAGTTGCAAAGCTCTCATCAATATCTATCAGCATATGAAGTCTGATGAAAGTATCTTGAATAGTTTCTTTGAAACTGAGCTTTAAACTGAGCGAAAATGTGACGGACGGACAGAGGGATGGAAAGATGCACACCAACAAGCTTGCTTCAGATGCAGGATCTGACCTTCATTTTCAGGATGAGTAAACAGTTACTGTAGTGTTTGGAGCATTGTCATTCTAAAGTAAATATGTCCTATGTTGTTGGTGTGCATCTTTAGATGTATCATCCATGCAAGTTTGGTCAATATAGGTCTATCAGTTTATCAGTAAGAAAATTATTGACCAGACACAAATTATGAACTTTTTTTTCTTTCAGTGACCTTGAACTTGCAAAAATGACCTTGGTTAAAAGTCATGACACGGCCTGTGGTTATAAGCAATCAGTGTAAATCAAGAACCCACCAAGGTTATCCATAAGGAAGATATTGACAAGACACTAATTTGATTTTTTTTCTTTCAGTGACCTTGAACTTCCACAAATAACCTTAGGTCAAGGTCAAGACACACCCTCAGGTTATAAGGATTTTTGTGTAAAATGGAAACTCACAAAGTTTAAACACAAGAAAGATATGGACCAAACACAAATTTAGAAATTTTTCTTTCAGTGACCTTGAACTTGTCAAAATGACCCTGGTGAAGGTCTTCACATAGCTGTAGGTCATGAGCAATCCTGTGTGAAGTAGAAGACTAAGGTTCCTTTGTAAGAAGATGTGGACTGGACACATTTGTGTAGAAAGCTATACAGCTAGACAGATGGACAAACAGCAGACAAATGGACCGACAGAAAGCTAGACAGACAGGCAAACAACAGACAGATGGATAGACAGAAAGCTAGAGAGACAACAAACAACAGACAAATGGATAGACAGAAAGCTGACAGACAGGCAAACAACAGACAGAAGGGTACACAGAAAGCTAGAGAGACGACAAACAACAGACAGATGGATAAACAGAAAGCTAGACAGACAGGCAAACAACACAGATGGATAGACAGAAGCTAGAGAGTCAACAAACAACAGACAGATGGATAGACAGAAAGCTAGAGAGACAGACAAACAACAGACAGATGGATGGACAGAAAGCTAGACAGACAGGCAAACAACACAGATAGATAGACAGAAGCTAGAGAGACAACAAACAACAAACAGATGGGTAGACAGAAAGCTAGACAGACAGGCAAACAACAGACAGATGGATGGACAGAAAGCTAGACAGATGGACAAACAACAGACAGATGGATAGACAGAAAGCTAGAGAGACAGCAAACAACAGACAGATGGGTAGACAGAAAGCTAGAGAGACAACAAACAACAGACAGATGGATAAACAGAAAGCTAGAGAGACAACAAACAACAGACAGATGGATAAACAGAAAGCTAGACAGACAGGCAAACAACACAGATGGATAGACAGAAAGCTAGAGAGACAACAAACAACAGATGGATAGACAGAAAGCTAGAGATGACAAACAACAGACAGATGGATAGACAGAAAGCTAGAGAGACAACAAACAACAGACAGATGGGTAGACAGAAAGCTAAGGAGACAACAAACAACAGATGGATAGACAGAAAGCTAGAAATGACAAACAACAGACAGATGGATAGACAGAAAGCTAGAGAGACAACAAACAACAGACAGATGGGTAGACAGAAAGCTAGAGAGACAACAAACAACAGACAGATGGATAGAAAAAAAGTTAGAGAGACAGCAAACAACAGACAGATTGGTAGACAGAAAGCTAGACAGATGGACAAACAACAGGCAGATGGATAGACAGAAAGCTAGACAGACAGGCAAACAACAGACAGATGCGTAGACAGAAAGCTAAAGAGACGACAAACAACAGACAGATGGAGAGACAGAAAGCTAGAGAGACGACAAACAACAGACAGATGGATAGACAGAAAGATAGAGAGACGACAAACAACAGATGGATAGACAGAAAGCTGGAGAGATGACAAACAACAGACAGATGGATAGACAGAAAGCTAGACAGACAAACAACAGACAGATGGGTACACAGAAAGCTAGACAGACAACAAACAACAGACCAATGGGTAGACAGAAAGCTAGACAGACAGGCAAACAACAGACAGATGGACAGACAGAAAGCTGGACAGATGGACAAACAACAGACAGATGGATGGACAGAAAGCTAGACAGATGGACAAACAACAGACAGATGGATAGACAGAAAGCTAGACAGACAGACAAACAACAGACAGATGGGTAGACAGAAAGCTAGACAGACAACAAACAACAGACAGATGGGTAGACAGAAAGCTAGACAGACAGACAAACAACAGACAGATGGGTGACAGAAAGCTAGACAGACAGACAAACAACAGACAGATGGATAGACAGAAAGCTAGACAGACAACAAACAACAGACAGATGGGTAGACAGAAAGCTAGACAGACAACAAACAACAGACAGATGGATAGACAGAAAGCTAGACAGACAGGCAAACAACAGACAGATGGATGGACAGAAAGCTGGACAGATGGACAAACAACAGACAGATGGATGGACAGAAAGCTAGACAGATGGATGGACAGAAAGCTAGACAGATGGACAAACAACAGACAGATTGGTAGACAGAAAGCTAGACAGACAACAAACAACAGACAGATGGATAGACAGAAAGTTAGACAGACAACAAACAACAGAGAGATGGGTAGACAGAAAGCTAGACAGATGGACAAACAACAGACAGATGGATGGACAGAAAGCTAGACAGATGGACAAACAACAGACAGATGGATAGACAGAAAGCTACACAGACACACAAACAACAGACAGATGGATAGACAGAAAGCTACACAGACTGACAAGGTGATTCTTGTATACCCCCCCCCCTCATTTCTTTTGTGGGGGTATAATATAATGTTTACAAAAACACATCAGTTATGAAATGCTTCATTTTTTAAAATCAGTTTCAATGAGAATCAATGAATTGTATCTATATGTCTATCATATACCTTACCTTATCCATAAGTTGTCAAACCTATGATTTTTTTTTCAGTGTATTAATAGTGTTTATATGAGTTATCATAGTCCTATTACACCTAAAGCTCATGTTTCCTCTGAATTCTGTGATACATACTGTGAGGATTTTTTTTGTTTGAATCTATTATACATACTGTGAGGGTGTAATTGGTCTTCTTTTCGTAATCAGTAGGATTAGCCAGGTACAGGGTACCGTTGAGTTCATTGATCAAGAAATGGTCCTCGGAGTTCCCATCTGTTATCCAGTAGTAAACCGACCCGAATTCTTCTGACCAATCAGAATCATTGGCTTTAACACTGTAACAGTCCAAAAATAAAACTCTTAATGAATTTTTAAAAAAAGATACTTGTGAGCCAGTACTCCTACCTATAAAATCATGTACCATTTTTCTTCCATTCATTGAAGGGTATGTATATGACATCTATGAGGCCTTAAAACCAAATGATCTGTGTTTTTAATACAAGTTGAACCTGGAGTATACTAACTGCCATAATGTTAAAGAAACACACACACTAACTCTCGATTCCTGCCTACATTTTGGAGCCATTTAATTCAAAATGAATAGCGATTTGGCCATAAAAGCTTTGTTTAATACAAAGAACAGTTCAATGGTAATTGATAAATCGTCTAAATACCAGCGTTAAACAGTAAATTATCCATAATTCCAGCTCTTGAAAAAAGGGGGGTAGACGATTTTTTTCCATTGAAAATCAGAGTTTCAAGCATCACTGTATTTTGAAATAGTCTTGGATATGATTAAATGTTATCCTTATATCTTTTCTTATGTTTTAGGCAAATAAATAAAACATAAATATTTCAATAAAATATAATGTTTCAGTTGTATATCGCTTTGAAATTGGTGGAAAATAAGCATTTTTATCGTTTTTTGTGAATAAACATATGTTCCCCCCAATGTCACACAAAAAGCTTTGGTATGAATTTGTGAAATACCATTCCATATTACCTGTAAAAAGGAATTTTTGTGACACGGGGGGGAAAGATGTTTTAAAAATATTTTCCATTTTCCATTGATTTCAATAGTGAAAAACACAAGTTTTACCAAAATTTTAGAGTTATCTCTCTTTGTTTTCCCAAATAAGTAATGTTTTATGAAAATTCATATAATTATCTATAAAAAATATTAAAAATTCATCGAATATGTTAACTTTTGAAAATTGACTTGGAGGTAGGCGGGAGAACAAGTAGGCGGGAGAACAATACTATCATTCGCAGTTCTTTTAACTTTTTGGTAATAGTCTTCTCGGGAAGTTGATGTCACTTAAATCTAAAAATTATCTGTATACCCTCTCTAAACCTGCAGGGGCCATGAACTGCATAAAACATGGGAATGCTTGAATACCAATATTTGCTTTTAACCTGCTGTTCATGGAAACATTACTTTCATATGATTGTTCAAGTCCACACAGCCATATTATAAGTAACTGTACTACGCAATCATGCATATACATGTAACTTCAACTATTAGGCCCCAAAACATTAATCGATAGTTTCTCAGGCACCGCCACATCAGTTAAAAAATGGCCGCATTGATCAATTTTATTGACATATTGAAAAGGGAAATAAGTCAATTTTCTATTTTCCCAAGTTGAAAAAGAAAATCAAGTTATTCCCCTTTTCATAAATGCTAGAAAAACAATATATTTCTTCTAAATCTAAAGTATTTTATCAGTTAAATTTTAAATAAATGTTTGGAATAACATTATTTATCGTTGAATACATATTATAACTAATTTCAGAGAACAAAACTTAAGAATTAGTGGATATTATCATTTTACTTCACAAATGACTTACAAAATAAAGTGCCCCGCCACATGATACGCCCGTCAAATATTGTTCAATAATCATAAATTGGTTAGGATGCAAGAAAATCAGGTAGCCTTCATTAACAGATTGACACAGATTTCAATGATCTAATTTCCATTTCTTATCATACATCTCTAAGAGACCTGCAGTGTATGGATTGATTATAACAAATACATCATATAACTCTAAACTGGTTGTGTTAGAGCATAACAAATATCCATCTGCAGCTTACTTAACTTAAACTGTTTATTGCATATTTTATGAAATAATAGAAATGCTAAAGTTTAATAAAAAAAAAATCAAACATAAATTATAATTTCTTCAGACTATAAAATTCTAAGTGAGACATGACTGCTATTTGTTGCAAATATATAAAAATTGAAATATATATTTTTTTTCAATGAACACATGTATAATTTTTTTTTTTTTTTTTTTTTTTTTATTACCCCAGTACATGTATATGTGTGTGTCCTTATAGCCAAGGTTGGGGAGCCTTGGAATCTATAAGTTAATTTAACAAAGTAGTTTTTACATATACATTAATGTAACATGAGGTTATTTTTACATACATATAAACATCTTTCATACTCTATTCACTCAGCTGCGTGCATATGCATATATCATTGTATGAGACTAGTTCAGATAAACAGAAATATAGAATTCATTGTTTTGTAACAAATAATATTGTAGGGGAAATATACTTAGGTATCTGTGTTATTACCTATGGAGAGCCATGCCCATCTTCTATTAAAGTCTAGTTCACAATTTTTTGTATAAATGAATTTTTCACATTTGTAATAATACAATATTTCAGATTTAATTCCCATTAGGGATGGTAGTTCTTTTTTACTCCTTTTTCTATAAATATGTCTTTTTACTATACATATTATCACATTAAAAATGTTGAAATATTTGTAATATTTACCAAGTAAAACATCAGTTTTGTTCAATGTGATATCTATATAAAATTCTTCTTTTATCCATGTTAATATATTATCCCATATTTCACTAACATAAATGCATTCCCAAAATAAATGGCCTAAGGTTTCTACATTACATTTACAAAATGTACCAGAATTTTATCTTGTTTATTAACCTCAATACCTTGTTCATTTATAAGTTTAAAAATGTTTTTATTAATATAGTTTCTTTTTTCAAGCGCAGCAAAATATTTAGTAGGTTTTTCTCCCTCTTCAATCCATTTACAATGACTTCTTATAAGTAGTCCTTTTAATTCATATTTCCTTATTTCTTCCAATTCTGTCTGGAGTTCATTTAATAAATCTGAATATAACTGTGTTGGACAAATGTCATACATTTCTTGTAATATTTTTATTTGTGTATTGAGGTCTCTTTTCTTATTTTTTCTTTCCCTTACTTTATGAGATGAATAATAGATAGTGAGACTTCTTATTTTCATTAACAGTACATCCAAAAATAAATCCTTGGGAATATATAATTCCGCATCAGGTCCTGGAGTATAAGGGGGCATTGTGTATTCTGCTACTGTATCATATGTAAGTTGTTTGATTTTTTTAGTATATTCTTTGTCCCTTAATAAAGAATTATTAAATTTCCAAAAACCTCTACCTCGTTGAAAATCATTAATTCTAAATTCAATACTTATTATCGAATGGTCAGTTCTATACCCTGGAATGATCTGAACATTTTCCAAAATTGACAATAATTCTTCAGATATAAGAAAAAAGTCTAGCCTTGCTTGTTTGATTGGGTTTCTACGGCTCCAGGTGAATTTTTTTACTACTAGGTTTTTTACTCTCCAAGGGTCCACAAGATTAAACTTATCTTTTAGGTTTTGTATTTCTACCCTATTTTTAGGATTATTTTCCTTAACATAATTATGACAGTCTAGCTGAAGATTTTGAACTAAATTCCAGTCTCCACACATAATAATAAATTCATTACCATATTCCTCTACTATATTACCAATCTCTGAGTAGAACTGTGGATCATCTCTATTTGGACCATATAAATTAACCAAAGTAATATTAAATCTATTATCCACCGTCATATTAGTAATAAGGAAATTTCCATTCATGTCAGACTTAACGGTAGAAATTTTAACTTCTATATTATTCATAATGTTCCTCTAGCATCTGTTTTTCCAGCACTCATCATAATATCATGGCCCCACTGGGCATAAACTGAGCTTTTTTCATTCTCTGTACAATGGGTGTCTTGAAGACAATATATTGAGGATTTTAAATTTCTAAGATAGCTAAAAACGTCTTTTCTTTTTTTACTATCATTTAAACCCCTACAGTTTACAGAAGTTATGCTAAAAAGTGACATTTGCTTTTAAGGTAAGATAAGTATCTACGTACATGTATATTGCATATACACACCTCATACACAACATTCAAACTTAAAACACCATGTTCTTCCTGCATGTGTACTCCCAAAAAAAAAAACACGCACAAAAACGGGGAAAAAAAATAGACAAGTATGTGAGGCTACATATCAAGCCATCCAAGACCCTCTGGTGTTTACTTACTGGTCTATACCGACTTAAAAAAAAAATGTCTCAAATAGGCTAACTGTAGGATTCAATACAATTCGATAGCCCTATTAAATGTATATACCCATATGCAGGTTAACATAGAATGATTTTGGAAGGAAAAAGAATACAACAATAACATACTTCATATTCTAATAATATTATGTTAACTTCAATAAAGGGAAAGGAAAAAATCAAACTAGCATGTGAGGCTACATATCAAGCCACCCGAGACCCACTAATATTTGCTTATTGTTCTGTAACAACTTAAAAAATAATTTGTCACAAAGAAACTACAATACTCTTAGTAGGTGTATAATAATTAATATCAGTTATAGTGGAAGGAAAAATGATACCACAAAAATATCCTACATATACCATAACTGAAAATAATGTTAACTTCCATAAGTGGAATGGAGAAAGGGGAAAAAAACCAAAATCAGGCACAACATCACAATTAAGACTTATAAGTGTTCCACTCCTCTTCTCCCTTTGCACGAAATTGCAGAAGAACATCATCCTTCGTTTCTATAATGCGGGTTTTCAGATTGTCTTGGCTCCTCATCCTGTATGCTCTTTGCGCTAGTTCACTACGCTTTTTCTTCAAATGATTTGCGAGATCTGTGCGAATTGCCATGCCTTTTGGAAGTGTTGCCGTTCTTGCGTGATGAAGAATAAGATTGCGGTCAGCCATATTCACAAACTTCACTATAATTGCCTCTGGTGCATCTGGCTTGTAGGTATTTAACGGATTTTTTGGAATTCTGTGTGAATTTTGGATTATAATGGCCTTGATATCTCCTTCTGGGATTTTCAGGTTGTGTCTCAAGCACTCAAGAACAGTCTCAGAAGTATTTTCTTGATCAGACTTTGGGATACCATAAAACAATAGGTTGTACTTCCTTGAGCGGTTTTCTTGTTGTACCACATAATCCTGTAACTGCTTGACATAAGTCTCCAGTTCTGTAATTTTCTGTTCCTGAGGATCTACCCGTTCAGTCTTCAACCTTTCCAGGTCTGAGATTCTGAGGTCTTGGTCTTCTAAAGCTCTCTCTATGTCCGTGAAATCTTTCTTGAGCTTTGATAGCGATTCTTCCACTTTATCTACTTTCTCTCCCACAGTTTTCAGGTTCTCGTTCACAGAGCTTTCTAGTTTACCAATAAGCTTCATAAAAAGAGCTTTAAGATCATTATTTGAGACCTCTTCATGTTCTTCTACCTGTTTGCCTTGTTTTGGATCCTGTTTATCTTGTTTATCTGTCTTGTCTTGTTTTGTTTTGTTCGTCCCATAGTTAGAATTTCCTCTGTTGTATTTTGCCGTCGAGGAGGGATTAACAAGTACTTGTAGATTAAGCAGCACGAAAACAAAATTAATTTGTGGAGTCTCTTATAACGTATTTGTTATCTTGTCGAATCCCACTACTAAAATAACCTGTTTTTACTTACATTTCCCTCACTTACTGCCTCACGAAAAATCACGCCATGCTTGGCGCGCCACAATACCGGAAGTCCGAACACATGTATAATTAGTTTTAATTATATTATACAATACTAATTTAGTTTTAATCATACACTAAAACATAAATTTGTTTTAATTACATTACACCGATTGGAAGATCTTTATCTGGACTAGCCATCAAGAACTCTTAATTACCACAAGCAATTATGAGGCCATTTCTTTTTGCCCAACTCCCAAGAGATAAATTAAGATAACAGCTGCATCAGATCTAGAGATGCTCTTAGCTCCTGACAATAAACTCATTAATTTCTCTCTAATTTGACATGCAAGTTTCTGCTATCAAAATTCTTCTTGACCAGTGCTTGATAATTATGCCCATGGGACAAACTGAATTCCTCTCAAAGCATAAACATTTGTTACAGATTGCTGTAAAGTATATAATGAAAAAATAAGTTTTTACTTAATTTAACATTTTTTAATAAGGATACAACTATATTTTTACATTTTTTAGGATTATGAAATTTAAAATTTAAAAGACTTAAAAATCACTTAAATTAAAGGTCACAGTGACCTTGAAATAGGCCGCGACACACCTTCTACTTTAGCTGTATACTTTTGCCAAGTTTGAAAGCTCTAGGTCTCATAGTTTTCTAGTTATGAGCCGGACAGGATTTTTCCATATTTGGCTATAGCATCTTTATTAAAGGTCAGAGTGACCTACTTTTTGTGCGCGACACACCCTCTACCCAAGATGTATCAGCTGACAAAGTTTGGTAAATCTAGGCCTAATAGTATTAAAGTTATGAGCCGGACATGAGAAAAACTAACAGACGGATGGACGGACATGAAGCCTATAACATAAAACGTCCCGTCTTAAGACGGGCGTATAAAAAGATGTAAATTTTGCTTCCCCCCCCCCCACCACCAAGAAAAAAAAGCCTGCCTGCTGCATTGAATTTTGAATTTTTGGGCCAGAGAAACTATTAATTAATTTTTTTTTTGCCTTAAAGGTCCTCCATATATATTTTTACACACAAGTATACATGAAATTGGCATTCAAATCAATGTCATATTAAGCTGGTTATAAAGAAGAAAAATACAGCAAATATTTTAAAATAGTTTGTACAATATGATTGGAAACAGAATTTTTAAAACCCATTACTCATTAGTGTCAAGGAAAAGGAAAATGACTTGGATCTTAAACTTTGCTACAAATTAAGAGGTCAAAATTTATTTTCATCGATACCATGGCTTTGTGATACATGTGTACCGTCTTCTTGCAGCTGTGGAAATTTGATAAATTCTTAGACTTAGGTACACATACAATGGATATTAGAAGAATCCATCCTTAATTTAACAAATCTTACCTCCCAATCTCTGATCCCGCAAGAGAACTTTCTCTAATAGTCTCCTCATAGCTTTCTGAGTTGAAAACTGGACTATTATTGTTAATATCCTACAAGATAAAACAAAACCCTAGTTTCTGAAGACTTTTATTCATAACTCACCAATTTGGACAAATATTCTAATATATATCCTCTTGTGAGCAAAATCAGTTTATAACTTGTTGGTTATGATCAATAATCAACAGAAGTAGTTAGCTAAGCCATCAGAACAATTTCTAATGTGGAATCATCAAAGATTACCACATCCCCATAGAGGGTGATTCCAAGTGGATTTTTTTTTACCAGTAATTTTCAACATTTTTCTATGACATTTTTTTTTACTGTAACATCAATTTCATGTTAGACAATCTTTTTTGCAAGCCTGTGTTGACATGCTAAAGGCAAACAGAATCAGATGGCCAGCAGAAATTAAAAAGTATTTTAAAAAGCATTGCAAAATAAATACTCTTTATTTTTTCATGCCACAACTATGAAATCATAATGAATGTCTTAATGTTGTTTTGAATTAAAAAAAAAAATGTTTATAAGTAAATTCAAAGTTCAAATGCAAAGTTCATAGAACAAAGCCCCAGTAAAAGCTACAGCTTACCTTAATATTGATCTCAATGAAAAGTTTAGGATTCTGTATAGTTTTTTTACTGTAATTTCTGTCATTGTAAGCCTCAATCACAACCACACCTATATCTCTCCGTTGTAAGGTTCTGTTTGCTGACAATTGTCCTGTTCTTTTATTGATATGGAATGCCTCTGTTGCATTTGTCAGTTTATAGAACACTTTATCATCTGTATCCTTGTCAGTGGCCTTCAAAATAAGAAAAGTACATGAGTTAACGAATGTTTGGAAAACACAGTCAACGACTTGATCATGGGTTATGCTAGAGGTAAAGACATAGTGCTTATAAATAGAGAGCTTAAATTACCTTTGCAGTGAAGAAATTTTGGGGTTTTTCTGTTTCATTAAATGTAAATGTAAGATTCTGAGGAGCTTCGCTGAATACTGGTGCATGATCATTGATATCTTCTACGGTGACATGTATCAATGTGGTGCTATTTAACGATGGAATTCCCTGGTCGTTTGCTATAACCACTAGCTCTAGAGTCTTGTTGGAACCCATTTCATCAGCATCTATCTTTTTCACAAGGTTAAGAGCTCCACTTGAAGCATCGATTGTAAATTTATCGCTCCTAATGAAAGGAAATTATCAGAATTATTTGCACAATTACACTATTAAATATTTAATTATCAACTTTGTAAATCTGAATACCATATATATTTTTTAAGCCTCATACAAAAACCGATTCATAAGGAAATCAAATGAAAACTACAGGAGGAATTGTATTTAACAATTATTTTGTAGAATATTCCTCTTAAGGAACAAGAGGTCCATGGGCCATATCACTCATCTAAAAATATTGACTAGGAAATAAAGCACAATTGGTTCAGCATTGAAAATTTTATGGGGGGGGGGGGTCTTGAGGATGCCTCCATATCAAATTAGCATATAACTGCTATTCTGGAGAAAAAAGGATTTTAAAAAATTAACTTTCTATATAAATACTTTGTAAAAAATTTATCCCCCATAGTGGCCCCTCCTCAAGGGACAGCAAGGGGTCATGATTTGAACAAAGAACTACTCGAATCCTGCCTACATTTTGCATTATTTAATTCTAACAATATAACAATATTAATGGCAATTTGGCAATAAAATCTGTGTTTAATACAAAGAACAGTTCAATGGTAATTGATAATTTTAATACCAGCACTAAATAATAAATTGGATGTGTATATAATTACCGAGCTACATTTTCGAAATTTTCATTACTGCTACAAAAACCATTACATTTAAAAGATAATGCATTACGGCTACTTCATTTCCTTTGTTATCCAGACACTTAATATACGTGTACAGATTGATCTTTAAGTACAATATATGCATGCACAAGAAATAATTCCCCTATTCACCTTGGGGAGGTGAGAGTAAATTTTTGCAATTTCGCCACTTTCATATTTTGTTTTCAGTCGTTATTCTGTATCATACCTGCCTGATTCAAAATGTAGCGGTAATGAGTTAATTTCGAAAATAGTCCTATTGAACAAATTTAGCAGTAAGAAGTTAAGATTTTTGGCAATGTAGCAACAATGTTGACCTCCCAGTAAATTATCCCTAGTTTCAGTATTTTTGGTCTGGATGATTTATTTAGTACTTTTTATTTATTTTCAGTTACCCGGTTAAGTTCTTTTTTTTTTTTTTTATCAGGATCATTATTCAGGCAGGTTTGGGATTCCCCAAAACAAGATGCATAGATAATTTTGGATTTTAAAAATGCAGTTCTTGAAGACTAACAGATTGTAGAATAATAATCCAACAAGTCAATTCATAATATCAAATTTTTGTCAATTTGTACATAAATTCTGTTAAAGCATGATTCAACTGAATTAAGAAATATGTTAATATTGTCTCCTTCAATAAAAATGAATCATAATAAAGAATATAACTATTCTCTGACAAAATTATATGATACAAATCAAATGGTGAAGAAAGTGCATCATTTCACCCCTTATTCCTGAATCAGGTACATCACTTTGTCTTTTCAGAATTCACTGAATATTAAATTCAATTCAACAAGTTTTTCTTCTACCTCTAAGTTACCTATTATTTCTTATGGTGAGACCCTACCTGTAATAATTAAAACACTGGCTTCTTATAGCTAATTAAAAATAAAAATTGCTTAAATGAAGACTGTCAACTAAATCCAACTGGCAAGCTTACCACTTTGATGACACCAACGTGTAGGTTATTTTGGAATTATCTGTCAAATCCTTGTCGGTTGCCTATAGGAAAAACAAAATTTTTTAAAATTTATTTAATAATAACTATTTCATATCCCTAATTTTTAAAATCCTTATAAAAATTACTATATTTCTGACCATGAATTTATGAAACCTCTTCATAAATGATACAAGTTTGATACTTTTTATCAAAGTCCATGATTTCAACCACTTTATTTTTTTTCTTATATTGTAGCCCTACCCTAACCAAAGGGACACAATTTGCAAAACTATTTCATACTCTTATTTAGTACACTTTCATAGAAATTTTGCCTTTTCTGGCCCAGTGATTCACTTTCATAGAAGATTTCCTTTTCTGAGCCCCCAGTGGGTTTTGAACATTTTAAATGACTACATCCTCTTTTCAAAAGGACTATATATATGATGAGTCAATTTTGGCCACATTAATAAATTGATTTTTTTAAAACTATGCAGACAAGTTTATTTCTGAAATATTTTCAGTATATTTGTGCCATTTATATACACTCGTTGGCTGTAAGTGATGCCATATAATGACAACAGAGACCGTCAGTACTTCGATCATTATCTGAAAATTCCAAAATTCCAAAAATCAAAGATAATGATTTCGAATGGCTCAATATTAAAATTGATTCATCTATCTTGTTAAAGTGTTAGCATCATCCCTGTTGAAGTTAACTGATGCTAGTTATTAATTTCTTTAATAAAAAAAGAAAATTCCAAACTCAATTGAAGAAAGGGAAATACAATTAATTGCTGAGTATACTGTATACAGGGTTATTTTCGCCCCGTCTTATTTTCGCCCTTTCACTTATGTAAACAATTTTGCCCCATTTAAAATTCGCCTGGTCATAGTTTTGTTTAAGAAATTATACTGTATTCTTTGAATTCGCCCAGTTTTAAATTCGCCCAATCAAGAAGTGCATGGGCAAAAGGGGCGAAAATAAAACGGAGGCGAAAATTTCCCTGTATACAGTAATAGGCCTAGGAAGCAAGTCAAACAAAAAATAGATATTTTGAACCTACACCCATCCCATGATCATTCAGTTTTTTTTTACAAGTTTGGAACATAATAATTTAGTATCTGAAGATGGATCTATGTTAGAAACTTTGGAATGAATGTACTTTGTTTTCTTTGAATGTGTGAATCTCGGACCTACCTATATTAATCTGATCAATTCTGTATCAAAATGTTGTAAAAGTTTTTTGTGAACCTTGTGTACATTTGTGTCACTATGAAATGCAACCTAAATAAAATCTCTCAAAAAAATGTAAAAAAATATTATTTTGTGGTTTTTTTATGACTCACATCAAAAAACTGGAATTTCACCTTCAGATTTGTGTCCATAAATATGGAAAACAACTGTAATATGATCATAATATCTCTAAAATCATGCCTGTTTCAAAGAAAAAAGTGAGCTATTACTCTTTCCTTTTTTTATGTGTATTAGTGCTGCTTCCTACCTGTACTGTTATAATATTATTCTGAGTTTTCTCCTCCTCCGTAACATTTACACGGTAGTTCTGTTTGCTAAAGACTGGAGCGTTATCATTGATGTCAGTGATGTCAAATGTAAAATTCCACGATATCACCTGTTACAGGGTACAAAAAAATCATAGAGTAACACTGTAAAAGTTTTAAAGGGTATCAGTATAAAAGACTCACAAGCTTGAGGGTCATGATTTGAGCAAGGTTTTAAATGTCAATAAAATACCAACATTTTTTCTCAACAAAGTGGATTATTTCAACTCACTTAAATCTACCCTAGCCAAGGATGCTTCAATATCAAGTTTGCTCTTTAAACACTTTTCCCTATATATAATTCCTTAACTGTAAAACTCTAACCACCTATAATTTTGGCTCCACCTTACCCAGGGGTCATGAGTTAAACAAATATGAATCTACACTATTAGAGGAAGCTTCCAAATTAATGCAACTAATCATGCATTCTTCTGGAAAAGAAAGAACAAGGTTCATGTTTGCCTTATTTGGCCCTGTGAATTTCTGAAAAACTGAAACTGCATAGTTTTAGTTAACAATGCATTAAATATAACTTAGATCTTTGGTGACTACGTATCTATAAAAAATGACGTCATTTTCTGGCTAGTCAATGCATTGTGACGTCACGAAATGCGTCAATTTCCTCCTATTCTGAAAAAGTCTACATAACGGCCAATTTTTAAAGATATTTTTTGATATTTAATATAGAGCTCAACCTCTGATCTAAAATATACAACTAGTAAATGATAGAATTGTTTCTGAGGATTAATGGACACGTTTTATTTTCTAGATCAGAGAGTGCGCTCATATTATTTTCATTCACTGAAAGTACTCAATTATACCTGTTTACCTAAAAATTCAAGAACATTACAATTTCATAAAGCCAGTTCGCCTAGACCTGGACTTTTAGAAGAATATTTGTAATAGGATATGAAAGCACCAAGACTCTGTTTTATTTTAATGCTTCAAATAGAAAATCAATTGTTGATCAATTAATTTCTATATCTACAGGGCCATTTTATGCATAAAGTGAACCGACTTCTTTCTAAAGTATTTTTTCTTCATGCATTTCCAAGTAAAAACTGTCCATTGTGATCCCACCCTTCCCTGGAGGCCAAGATTTAAACACATGTACTTGAACTCAAAATTTATAGTGTCTAGTTGTATCGTCAGTGTATACAACTTAGTTCTGTAGTTTAATACTTACATGTTTCGAATCGGTAGCTTGCACTGTGAAGCTGTAATGTTCATTTCTTTCTCTGTCAAGTGCACTGCTGACTGACAACTGAACCATATTGTTTTTACTGTAACACAAAACAAAAAGATGAAGATATGAAGAGTGCCCAAAGAAATCAATGACTAGGTACATTGCCTTTCACCCAACCCTTGAGTTTTTTCTATTGGGAATCTTTCTGATCCAAAATATATTTTTTTCTCTAAAAATTGTATTGTATGTGTTAGCCATACTTCCCTTTGCATGACAAACTGCACTAAATTTAACTTTTACCTCATTCACAAAAAAAAATATGGGTGAGGATCATTGTCTCAAGCCATGGTTCGAAGTCCGAATTTAGCTCTCTCCTACTCCTGGCTGCTTGATCACATATTAAATTGTTATCTTAAATATTTACGCCTTTATGCAGTGATGTCATGTTCAGCCAATTACTATATCTGATTCCATCGCCATTGAAATCAACACCAACATCATCAGTACACAAAACTATTTTGTAAACTGTGATTGGTAACTGAAAGGCCGCGACCAAGTTCATTTCAGACTTTGCTTTACTCGCATTGGTCAATATCTTAATGAAGTACATGTACTAAATATTCTCTTCTCATTCAACCACAGCTAAGGGTGAAACGTTTACTGAATTTTGTAAACGTTTAAACGGATAGCAGTAAACGAAACGTTACCGTTTAAACGGGAGATATTTTATGTTGGATTTTTATGGCTACTTACTCATGAAACTCGAATTAAATAATCAATTCTTTCACTTTAATATGAGTATGAGTTGTTATTACAATTTCATTGTTGGTCATTATGACATAAGAATTTGAGGCGCATTAAACTCATTCACTTTCTACATCGTCACCCAACTGCGTTGGTTTGTTTGGCTTCATACCGGACGTAGAAAAAGAATTGTAAGAATGGATCTTTTAATTTCGAAAAAAAAGTAAAACAAGACCTGCTGACTCTATAGAAACACTTTTCAAAGACTTGTGAAAATGTATTATATTTATTTAGTCAAAATATATCAAGTTTTATATTTCAAGTGTCATAAAACATCGCTAGTATTCGCAACTTGGAAATCGGAATTAAATATGTTAGACTGTATCAGGTTTTAGATATTTTTATTCAATATCTTTCCGGTATAGATTGTTGCTTATCAAATGGTCAAAGACGGTGTTTCTTTTGTAAATTATGAAATAAAACAATTTGTTTGTGTTAAACTTTATTTCTGATAGACTTTGATAATGACCTTCGTGTAAACGTTTACTCAATCTGTAAACGTTTAGAGCATGTAATCGAAACGTCGCCGTTTACACGTGTAATCGTTTCGCCCTTAACCACAGCCAGAATGGGAGAGGATCATACATTTTGGCCGTGATTTGCTATGATGGGTGAGGATCAGACAAATAGAACCCTGGAGAACTACAATATTAGAGTTATTGATTCTAGTTAGAATCAGGCACTAGATAGTACTATAAAAAGAGGATATTACATTGTGATGGGTATCAATGGTTCAGAGGCTGAATTACTGATCCCATGATGAAGTTTGAGCCAGACATGGCAACAGGAAGAGAAGTAATATTATTCTTCCTCATGAAGTCAGACTGCCAGATTTTTTGGTTTCATGACAATGGTCAATCAATTGGCTTGCATGATAATTTTATGCATAAAAACCTATGGCATTTATGTGATAGACCTTTATGCAAATTATCACCGCAAGTCATTTGGTTGGTCACATCATCAAACCAAAAAATAAGACAGTTATTCTTCAAATATTTCTCATTTATTTGCATATAAAAGTATAAGTTTTTTCTTTATCGAAATAACAAGACAGATTATTTGCTCTTCAGTTGAACAACTTATATCCCCTTCACCTAGGAATACTTAGAGCAAGTTTGGTTGAAACTGGCCAAGTGGTTCATGAGAAGAAGTTAAAAATGTGAGAAGTTTAAAGACAATCATCAGAGCTCCAGATAATTTTTTACCCCAAAGTGTATATACTCCCTGATTTTCAAATCAATGTAGATTTTGATTTTCAGCAAAATGATTGAAGAGTATTTTGTTTATATAGAAATGTTTTGACCTTTATTTTGAGCTTGTAATCGAAGTACGAGTTTTTGAAGAGGAAAAAAACTTCAAAGGTCAGTTTCTGCAATTATTCAAATAAATTTTGTAAATTTCAACAAGAAATTTTTTCTAAGATTGAGAAGCATTTTTGTTTTTGACAAGGAAGATTATACCGGCATACAGTAGGTCAAGGTACATAATTATACACTGTACCATAAAGTCAGAGACACAGATAACTTTTCCTAAGATATCGTATCAAAAGTAAACTGAAAGAATCTTTGTTAATATGGCAAGTTGAGAGAGAGGAAAAATTTGCTAGTGTGAACGCATAATAAAAAAAAAGTTATGCTAGTCTTTCTACGTAGAAATGGAGATCGTCGTCGTCATTACTAGAATATTCCTGCATGTCACTAAAATCTGTACATGTACTTCGTTTTGAGAAAAATCAAACACCGAGTTAATCTCAATTGACATCATTAAGTAAATCGTAACTGTATTCTTCAACTTGTTGTACGCAGTACTTTCGTGGTGTATTGCGTATTTTTGATTGCTAATGCGTAATTGTACGCTCTATTTTAATTTTCAATGCGTATTTTGTAAAATTTAATGCGTATTTCTGCAAATACGCACCTTATCTGGAGCTCTGAATCATTCAAATATTTTCTTTAAAGAGAAAACATGTACCTGGTCTTGTTGAGTTGAAAGGGTTCATGATCACCACTAATGTCAAAGAAAAGGGGTGAGTCATCTGGGTCTGCATCAAAAGCCTTCATGAAAATAGTGACAAACTTGTTCAAAGAAACTGAATAAATGAAAAGCCAGTTATTATCATATACAAATTCAATTCTGATAATATTAAAGGGGGCTGACTGGGGTTTCAATTGCACAATTCTTCGCACATTATGAGGAAAATAAAGCATATTTACTGTTTTAAAGCAATTTTTTCACTTTACTTGCACTAATAATGGAAGTTAAATAAAATGTTTGCGATACCTTTTGACATACATTATAGCATTTGCTCGATCATACTCAAGAAGCGGGGCATAAAAATTCTCAAGAGGCGTTTTAACTAACAAACAAACTTCCATTATAACCTCATACACCCTGGATATGACAAGTTATCTTTTTATCTACCTGAATGGTGAGCAGTGGGGATCCTGGTGGTACGTCCTCAGGTACTGAATGATGGGAAACATTATTTCCCACGACGGACAGGACAGGGTGACAGAGATTTGTCTGTATGTTGACTGTCACACTCACTGTTGTCCTCCTGTAAAACAGTCAAAACACTTCAGGTACCCTACCAAATAAATGTCTACAGTTAAAACAGTTTTAATTCACAGGAATTTTAAAATCTAATATTCAAGTTTGATTTACGATAATCAATGTTCATTTTGATGATTAGGTCCTAATATGGTAGCTCTACTGAGAACAGTTTTTTAAAAACGTAATTATAAATACCTTTGCACATTTTGAGTTTATTCTCTATGATGAAATAATTCACCAAATATGAATCCAAAGAGTAACAAATTATAATCATGGATTTATTACAGCAGGATAACACCACTTATGCATTAAAAAATATCATGAAAGTGAGCTAAATTCAAAGTGTGGCATACAGACAGACAGACAGACAGACAGACAGACAAAAGAATGTATAAGATAAACACAACATTCCAATACCCCATATTTATTATGGACAAAAAAAACTTCTCGTATAATATATTTTGTACGCATAATAAATTATTTCACAATGTTCTATGTACATTATCAATATAACAATGAGACAGAGCTCCTACAGAGCTGATTTGGAGAATACTAGAAAAAGTAAAGTCACATCCACTTCTACATTTTTGGGGTGCGCTCCTTACATAGAACCTGCTTTTTTTTTTCAGGATTTTTATCCCCAAAGTTGGGGGTGCATCTTTTACAACGTTGCGCCCAACACACGGGATTTTACAGTAGGGAATCTATAGTATTCATGGTTGGCAAAAAAACTTATCTGTATATTTTGTACATAATAAATTATTTCAGCTATTCTTTGTACATTATTAATATAACAATGTGACAGAGTTCCTACAGAGCTGATTTGACCCTATACCTTTGAGTTCCCGATTCCTCAGGCTTGTCTTGTGCTGTGACAGCTAACTCCACAGATTTGGGGAGTTTCGTGGTCCTTTTACAATCATACAGAGGATTATTTAAAGGATATAATTCTCCAGTTCTTTTATTAATCTTAAAAAAAGTTTCTTTTTGGCCACTTAATTCATAGGTTACATATCCATTTGAGACATCAGCATCATTTGCATTCACCTGAGAGTAAAAAAAAATTATTATTATTAAGAGCCAGTCCGCGAGAAAACCATGCAGAACTGTCCAAATCGAAGGTTGTCATATCTTAATGAAATTTGGTGGGTAGTTAGACTTTATAATATGTTATTTAAAATGACCAAAAAAATTCCAATCATTCAACATGGCAGCCGTAGGCAGCGCCACCTCCTTTTTGCACATTTAAGTGCAAATGCACTTAAAAAATTCAAGAAAAATGGTAAAATTCACATTTGATTTATTTTACTCAAAATTAAACTTGCATTTCCATTAAGGTATTTTGAATAACATAAGACTATGTTCTTTCAAAATTGACATTTATCATAATCAAATATGCAATATATTAAAGGGCAGACAACTCTTGAAAATTGGCATGATGCCAATTTTCAAGAATTGCCAAAAGTATTACAAATTTAATGCCCAAAATCTTCCAAGACCAATCTTTGAAATTATTATTTTTTATTTTATTGTACAAATTTAATTCTAAACATTATCTTTGCCAAATATTGATCTTGGGAAATAATAAATAATTGAGATATGGGGATTTACAAATTGCCAATTTTCGAAATAAATGCTCAAACTCAAGTGGGTTACAAAGTCAAATATAGTACTTTAAATTATAAATAATTGTTGTTAGATATTGAAACATGTAAAAAATTTTCTTTGAAATAAAATTAAGAGTGAAAAATATTAAAATTAAAAATTAAATAAAACTATATTGTCAGAAATTACCCCTAATATCAGGATTAGCATTTTGCCAATTGTTTAGAATGGAAAAAAACATAATAAATTGTATTGGCTTACTTGCAATTTTTCAACAATCATATGAATATATATGTTCCTTACATTTTGTAAGTTTGTTTCTTTATAATCAATAAAAGGGAAATTACAAGTATTTAAATTCAAACGGACTCAGTATCATTCATATAAATTTTGAGACTTGAACGTATAAAATTTGAGCCTTCAGTAAGTTGTTTGCTAGCTGCAGAACTGTAGCTCTCCGAAAAAATATATATTGATATATCGGAGGGCTACAGTGCCACCTGTATTTTTATTGCGCATAAAAAATGCGCTTGGTTCTAGATTAATTCTTCCAAATTCTTACCTCAATTGCAAAAACAGCTAGATTTCAATAAAGTCCTTACTCTTTATCAATTAACGGCATGGTTTACATCACAGGTGCTGGAGGACAGGACCCACCCACCCCCTCGCACCCCCCCCCCCAATACAATACAATGTGATATAATCTATCCTATCAATTTAGAAAATTTGTTTAAAGTTACATTTTATAAAAATATCTACCCTCTCTATATGATTTTTATATAGAGAATGTAGGGTATATTAATAGAACGTTTGTTTTAGGTAATTTTTCTATTTGCTGGTATAGATCTTATCACAAATATGGCAATGAAAGATATTTTATGAGAAAAAATTCGAAAAAGCCTAGGGGTCTATATCGAGGGGGGGGGGGCTGTCCTCAAGCACCTGTGGTTTACATCTTCTGTACGAAGCGCGTTAGACCGAAATATCTTCTCAATTCCAGGTCCAGGAGGGCTATTAGAAACAATTATAAGGAATGTTTTGTTGTGGAAACGGTGAAAGAATATGTTAGGAACACACAGTTGGTAAAATTTTGAGATGACAGTTTTAAGAACAAGGAGAAATAAATCGAGAAACAGCGCATTTTTTTTTTTTGGTGCGCAATAAATATAGTTTTTTCAATGGGTGGCACTGTAGCTCTCCGGTCTATCAATATATGTTTTTTTGGAGAGCTAAAGTTCTGCAGCTAGTTGTTTGCTTTCTGTCAATTTTAAATTGGTACAATCTTATAAAAATACTGACAGGGGATATTATACAAAAAGCTCCATAAAGGAGGTTAAGAAAATGAAAGATGCTGGAGTTTACTCTTATCCCACCTCCCGAGGCAAACAATTGTCTTCTTTTTTCGCTTGGCAAATTCTTTTCAGGTAAGTTTAATTTTAACCCCCCACTACCCTTTCAAAATCGTTTCTACGTCACTGCTATGACTGCAATTTTTGTGAATAAGAGATTTTATGAACATGAATAAATCAAATTTATTTAAATAATGGGGGATTGAATCTCTAAAATATATATTGTTTATAAATTTGTTTATTTAAGATGATTTAATCTAAAATAAAATAATAAAATACGTTTTCCGTTCCCTTTTCCTTTCCTCGTTTTAGCAATTAGAACCCTTATCAATTTTCATTATTTTATCCATTTCAATATTAGTATGTTAATTGTGGAGAGGTGGATGGGGTTAAACGATTGGGTACTAGATACACTCGTATATTTAATATCCTGACCTTGATTGATTGACACGCCCCCTCCCCCAACTGTTTTCAGTGGATACATATAACATTAAAAAAAAACAATTTATCTCTGTCTGCAATGGTACATGTATTAACACCACTATGGTTATTCAGAAAAAGTATCAAATATTAATTTACACAGCCTTAAACAATTTTATTAATAATGTTTTGAAAATAATTTTGGCAAAATTTGATAGCCCCCCTCCCCCCAATTTGAATAAATATGAATCAAGTTGTAACGTGAAGCCCACCCATCCGAGGGTTAAACAGGCTCGCCGTTGCTTAACTTGCCTGAAATAGAGGGAGACTCTACCGCATCACCAGAAAAGCTAGCTCACTGGCGAGACAGTATAAGTTCCCTATGTACTGTCCGCTACACTTCACCCGCTCAGGGAAGCTTCGATCCTAAGCTTAGCATGAGTTCTCTCTGAGTATTTGGGCCTCTTCAGCTACAGCAACCAATGCCGTTCCCGGACTTGAAGTCCTTACCTGGACACAAAGTCCTAGTCTTAGCCTAGATGGTGGCATCTCCTTTTGAGCTGATGATTTTTAATGTGAGGTCTGACTTTATCAATATATGAATGTTACGTAACACAGTAGTTTAAAATATGTAATGTAAAGTTAAAAATATTCCTAGGAATTTCGGTGTTTGGTTAACTCAAAAACACACTAAATTTATGAAACCTAAACAATTTACATGTAGATTGAAATTACAAATTATTTTTGAATTTGCTGAGAGTATGCAATCAAATACCTGTTTGTATTCTTATATTTTCTCAAATGATGACAAAACAAGTTGCTAAGACACTAAGAAAACTATGTGCGCTTATATTGAAAATATATGATTTTAGTTAGTCATTCCTCCATGATTTTTTGATCCCTCGCTTATTTCATTATTACATGTTTCATATGTGTTTTTCTCTTCCTTTTCATATTCTGATTATGTATATCATATACTTGTCCTCTGACCTGAATGTATATGTTGTAAATATTCTTCATTGTCCTCATGTACCTGAAATGGTTTGAGTGAATAAAATGATCTTGAACTTGAACGGGGCCAGGTGCCTTAAACAAAATATCAAATGTATATTTTGATTAAAAATATGTTATTATTTGATTTAATTTCCTATTCAATTGTACTTGTTAGGAAAAATTTTGTATCTGTTAATTACCATGAAATACATGTAGATTCCCCGAGGACAGAACCCTGTAGAAAATATACCTACTACATGTATATGCCCAAAATAAAAAAAAAAAAATCTGATGAACTTTTATTTTTTTTATTACTTTCTAATAGTTTCTATGGAATTCTTGGTATTTTTTTTATAGTTGATAATGTAGGTTGTCCCCCCTCCCCCACACTGAAATTGCTTCCTATGGGCCTGTTACATGTATTTGTTTATTCAAGCTAAATTGTTATTTTTTACATTCAAGTATCTTAAAATAAGTTTTCCCTCTTTCATAGTGCAATAATACTCCACAACAACTCCCTAGGTGAAGAAAAAATGATCATACATGACTTTTTTCTTTCCATATTGACATACCTGTCACTTTTTACCCAATAATACAAAAGAGTTCCAGCAAGGGGAGATAACAATTTAACTCCAGCAAATTGGTAACTAGAGGGTAAAATAAGCAAAAGAAAGTTATATGAAGTGTCCAAATCAGTTATTCCTCTTCTTAAAAATATATTAGATTAAGAATCTTCTCTTTTTCTTAAAATATCATAGAAATAAGCCAAAAATATGGTAAAAGACTGTTATTTAAAATATGTGAAATTGTAGCAAAATATGGTATTTCAAAGTTAATTTACAGCATGTAGATATTATTTCCCAAGCTCAATATTTTATTACAGAGTAGACCTTAGATCATTCTTAAAGTAACAATTAATTTTATTTAATTTCAACCTTGGTCTTGAGAGAAACGAGCGTCTAAAAATGGCTAAAAAATCATACTCATTTACTTAGGATCTATAAATAGATGTGTAAAAAATAAAATATTCATTTGATTTAAGTTTTTCCTCATTAATTGTGTTAATTGGACAATGACTTTGACAAATAAACCAAATTTGAAAATAAACTTATGACAAAAGGTAACTTTTTGACTTGATCAATTTGTATACATTTTCCATTAAATTTTGTGTGATTTTCGACAAATATGCAAATGAGCTGTTACTAAAAATAGATGCAGGGTTTGACATTTTTTTTGTGGATATTCTTACTTCTACCTTTATGTAGAAAATTCCCAAGTTGCAACCTTCCATTTGGACGATTTTTTGAATTTTGCATGGTTTTCTCGCGGACTGGCTCTTAAGGACATACCTTACCTTTTGATAATTTTTCAAGATATTTTAAGTTTAAACTCATAATACCATTTATATTGCATATTCTTAGACAAAAAATCAGCATGCATTACCAGGGGTTTTGAAAAGATATCAAATTATGAAAATTTTTGCATTATTCAACGAAAAACGTATAAAAATTACAAAACATGAATTCCAGATATTTTTTACTCAAAATTTGTTTTAGAAGAGGTGTAAAAATCCATAAATAGATATTAAAAGTATTGCACACAGGTCCTTCAATTAGTGGAACTCTTCAACTCCAGGGAAGAACCCAGTATAGTCCAAACTACGTTGCGTATGACCTTAATCTCTGCTTATTTGGTCACCTATTCAATTCAGTAAACTATTTCACAACAGCTGAGTTTAACAACTTTTTTTTCCAGAAATCAGCAATATTTCTCATAAATTTACATTTGAATTGGTAGCCTGAATAATGTTTACCAAGTGTATTGGGACAATTTGATTAGATTTTGTCATAAGCTTAAAAATTTGTGCAAAATTTTGTGTGGAATTATATAGAAAACAAAACAAGGTCTCATATCTTAATTAGCAGCAAGGAAAACCTACCATTGCTTTATATTTCAGCGATTTTTCTTAAATTTATGTCATTTCAAATCAAAATCATTCAAAAAAGATATATATCAATCCATGCATCATTTTTTTGTGTTAAGTACTCTTTAATAAATGATTGTTCCTTATATGATATTCATTTAATCTTGATATCATTAGATTAGAAGTAGACTATACATGCCTACAAAATATTTTCATTTAAATGTACTTTGAATTTGAAATTCCCCACCTGTCCAATGGCTGTATGTTCAGTTGGGTTATCTGTAACATTAAAACTGTAGCTTTTGTTGACGAACCCTGGGTTGTTGTCATTGACATCAGTTAGGCTTATTGTCAAAGAAGATCTGCTACTGTTTTTTCTTTCTGCTGTTTTGCTTTCTTGTGCATAAACCTAGATTAAAAGAGTCAAATAAAGTGTATCAGAGGAGGTTACAAAACTGTTCCTATGTTGTCGAAACAACTTACTAAGAATTATTACACAAAAGAAAAAAAACAAAAACAAAAAAAGAGAAAAAAACATCTTGCACTACAACCTAACCCTATAAATAAACCATATAAGAGCTGCCAACTTCATTGATAGAAAAATAATGAAAATGAAAGGGTGTATTAGATCATTAATATTAAATCGTTTTTGTCCAGATGGAGGGACAGGGTCTACAGTAAAACTCGGTTATAACAAAGTCACTGGGCCCTGTGAAATAACTTTGCTATATCCGTAATTTGTTATATCTGTATAGGGAATTCGTAAAATTTATATAGTTGGGGATCCATGAAAACTTCGCTACATCCGTGTTCATACTAAACGAGTTTTGCTGTACTTACCGTACAGTTAAATTGCTGAGTTTGCTCAATATCCAACTGTGTACTGTCATTTACTACAATACTTCCTGATTGTCTAATTTCAAAAGACTTGTTGCAGTTCTCCAATATATACTCAAATTCAGCATTTTCTCCCTATTGGTTAAAATGAAATAATATATTAAATTCAACTGTGTCTATTTTTTTTTCTATTTTAAAGCTTAAAATCTGAAAACACAGATTATTTCTTAAGCTTTTAAACATAAAAAGATCATGTTAAAGCCAAACAATGCATGATGACTAGTACTATTCCCCATTTCAAAAAGGTGAGTTATTTCCCCTGAAGGGAACTCTTTTACTGTGTTTAATATGCATGCGCTATAAAGAAAGTCACTTCCGCGGACATTCTTGATGTAAACATGTTCATAATGCCTCTGTCATATGACAATTAACTGTTATTGTGTTTGTGAATAAAAAGAAATCTTAACTGATTTGTATATTTCTTTAAATTACTCACTCATTCTCTCTTTCTGGATTTGTATTAATCTCTATACTAGTACAATAAGGTGCTGTGTGAGCATCCCCCCTTACAAAAAAACAAAAAACAAAAAAAATGCAACAGATTACTGATAAAATGCTGAAACATATTCGAATAGGCCTATTTTTTTAAAAACCAAAAGCTAAAATTTTATTTTTGGTAGTGGATGTTCTGCAGATGTATCATCATTATTTACAAAATGTTTTAAAAGAACAAATTAAATATATGAATTTTTTGTAATAGTTATGATAAAGTTTTTACGAATTAATATAACCCGCTGCAGCCATATTTTCTTCTCTGCATCTCTAAGAAGTTTTTGGAGACTGTTGACATATCCATCTACTGTTTTACCTCTGAAATTGCTGCATATGTACAGCAGTAGTTCGTCTTCTGCGATCGATATCAAGAAACTGCGTTTTTGCTCGATTGTACGTCATAACATAGTTTACTTAGAAGAACAGATTTGGTGACAATTAAAGGACCTGTTTCATTTGAATTTACCTTGTTTCTAGAAATTTATATTTGTAAAAATAATTAATTATATTGATTCACTTTTAAATTATAGTATTAAAAACTTTGAATGGAATTCTAAATGAATAATTTAATCTCATGTGCTCATGTAACGAAGAAAGACTATATTAAAATAGCATCAACCTGAATTCATGTTACATATGTCGTATAAAATTTGAGCTGCATTTAATCAAAGTTTTAGTGTATGATCTAAGCATATGTATATTCTCGAGTAAAATACACTTATTTTGTTTTAGATCAGAGAATTGACAGCAGAAACCTGAAATTGATACAATAATTTCCGAGCGTATTTCTCGTTAATACGAAAATCATTCTTTTAGTAAAGTGTTGTTTATGTTTCTAAAATCCTTTCAGTGTAAGTATTTTTTTTAATAAATTATATTTTTTTGCAAAGTGTGTAAAAAACAATATTAGAGAGAGAGAGAGAGACTCACCCTAACTTTTTTCCCCAACATTACCTTTTACTATTGAAAATGTTCATTGAAAGACAGGTTGCCCCTGACAGGTTTACTACGGTAAAGTTATATAAGGGAAATGTAGCATTGTATGCCAAGGAATTGGTACTGAAATAAGTAGCTTTTTCGACTTTGGGCAAGGTTTTTTTTTGCTTGTCAACTTCTCCAGGTAAGTAAAAAAAAAAATCTTTCTGACTGCCCCCCCCCCCCCCCCACTTTTAAAGACGATGCTACCTGCCTTGCCAATTTGTATCGCTTTCTAGAAAAGGAGGAGGGCTAACAGACCCTTTATAAAATCAGAAACCGTTTCCTTCTTTTAAAATTTTTAAATGTAGCGGTAAGTTGATCACTATTTTGTTGGATTATCAAAATTCATAATCCGCGGAAGTAATGCTGGTGTAGAAGAGTTCCAATTTTGAGGGGAGATAACTCACGTTTTAAAATGGGGAATTAGACAAAGAGAACCCAAACATTTGATGTACTGTAGATGTATAGTGAAAACTGCCTATTCTGACCCCTATGCAATCTGTTTCACTGTGAATTCCAACCCTTACTTTACTGGTTTTCTATCTTCTTTACAACACTTATTCTGACACCCTGTCTATTCCAATACAAAAATTTGTATCCCACTGTCTGTGTATGAAGTTTGATAATTTTTTGAAAAATTTATTTATTTTACTATATGATCAAAACATTCCCCCTAATCCCTGAACCCTGCCATGGACCTATGACCAAGAATTTCACAATTTTGGTAGAGGTCTCATTGCAATTATTCATAAAGCTAAAAACTTAAGAGCTAAATTCTGGAAGTAAAGAAAAATTTTTAAAATGCATGAATTTTTTGTGGTTTTAGCCCAATCCTTTGGGTTCCAGGGAGGCATGGACCATGAAATTCACAATTTTTGTTTATCTTTACTCACAAATGTCCTAATTGCAATAAAATTGGCTAAAATTAGCAGCTCAGTGGCTGATTTCAAAGAAGAAGCTGAAAAAGTTCAGGGGTTCACATATGATGAAAGACAAAAATCAACAGTTTTAATGAGGGACTCAGTTAATTTTTAAATAAAAATCATCATGATATTTGCTTTCACAGCAAGAATGAAAGCTATCAATGCTTTCTGCACTGATTTCTGAACTTTATGATGTACAGTAGGCACTTACTTCATCAGCATCTGTGGCTATTACCCATGTGACAACCTGCCCATTCTTCATGTTCTCTGGAATGGAGGCAGTATAGCTAACCTGAGACATGACTGGGGCATTATCATTGACATCAGTAATGCTGATCTCTACCGTAGCAACATCACAACGAAATTCAGGTTTATCCACCTGGTATGCCTAGAAATTAAATGAAAGGCCTATTAGTTTTGATTTTAAAAAGTTCCCCAGAAATTTTGACATTTATTCTTATAGCCATACAAATTTCCGAACCTGATGTATGTTCTCTATAAATGACAACCAAAAATAGCTGCGACAACTTTTACGATCAACTGAATATTAGATCAGTGAAGAATACTTATGTTCAACAACAGTAACTTTCAACTTAAAAGACATAAATATTTGTGACCTCTATAAACATACATGTATATGGATTAACTTTAAGATAGAAATCTTACCCTGACAACTAATGTGATGACACTCTTATTTTCCCTGTCCAGACTGTGACCTTCTTTCAGAGATATGACACCACTACTTGCATTAATTTTGAAAACACTGTCTGTAAAAGTAATCATAATTAACTTTCATTTATTCTCTATCTCATAATTACACGTTGATAAAACCCGTTTTTTGTATTTCTTCATAAGTACACCATTTGTTACATTCCACTGAGCATTTGGTAAAAACTTAGACTTTTAGAAATCACTACCCAGAGTAGGCAAAAATACCCATCAAATGTGAAATGTCTCTTTTCAACATTTCTTAATCATCTCCCCTTGAAAAAAGGATGTGTCCCTTCAATTTGAATAAATTTGAATATCCTTCATCCAAGGATGCTTTGTGGCAAGTTTGGTTGAATTTCAGCTTGGGTAGGTGGTTCTTTAGAAGATGAAAATGTGAGAAGTTCACAGATAATGTGCAACATAAAAGACAGAGGGATGACAAACACTTTTGGAATAGAAAAGCTAACTTTAGCATTTGACTCAGGCCAGGTAACAAACACAGAATTTATACCTGTGAAAAGAATCTCATAATTAATTGTAGCATTGATTCCGACATCTTGATCTCTGGCCTCCAATGCTTTATTCAGCTTTACTTGAGTATTACTTGCAGCCTGTAGTAAATAAGAAGGAAATCAAAATTTTTAGGTGCCTGGATAGATAGATCCAGGGCGTATATTGTTTTTGTCCTGTCTGTTTGTTTGTTTGTCTGTCTGTTGTCAACTTTGCCATAACTTCTGAGGTCAATGACCTTGTGACCTTGAATGTGACCTATATGCTAAAAAAAGCTTTTTTGAACTTTCGCAATAACTTTTGAACCAAAGGCTATAGAGACTTCACGTTTGGTAAGCATACAACACTAATTAAGCTCTTTTAAATGACACCAAGGTCATTGACATTGTGACCTTGTCTGTGGCCAATATGCTAAAAATAGCTTTTTCGAACTTTCACAATAACTTTTGAACAATAGGAGATAGAGATTTCATAGTTGGTAAGCATAAAACAATAATTAAGTTCTTTCAAATGACATCAAGGTCAATAACTTTGATACCTTGACTGTGCCCTAGATGCTAAAAATAGCTTTTTCACAGTTTTGCCATAACTTTTGAACCACGAGAGATAGAGACTTCATATCTGGTATGCATACTACACTTACTAAGTTCTTTCAGATAACACCAAGGTCATGATCTTTTGACCTTGACTGTGACCTACACTCTAAAAGTAACTTTTTCGAACTTTTTTGCTGCCGGGCACATAGTGTTTCACAAACACATCTTGTAAATTATGTTTTTAAAAAGTTAAGCAACGTACTGTGAATAATTTAAGTTTGTTTGTA